CCCTGGTTTTCATCTACCTGTCCAGAGAGAGTTCAACCTGACCATGTGAAGTGATACTTCTCCATAGGCAAATAAATTAAAGGCACTGGTTACTGACTCACTGAAGCCCATAAAAAGTGACTTGGGCTACAGTTAGGGCTGCTTCAGGTTCAATCTGAAATACCTGGAGTCCACTTGGTCTAATTACTTTTCTGTCCTCAATACAAATACCATGTATATTAGACTTCTGGGGCCCTTCACAGACTCATTTTTTTCCCTCATGTTTCATAGGCTTATGGTGACATAATTCTATGGGGGTTTCCATTATGTTCTATGTAATTAAGCAAAGCATATTCTAATTTTACTGAAGTGTAAAATAAAATCTTCGGACGATAATACATTTTAAAGTTAAGTTCATTTCTGTCTTTTACTCTGGTTCGCTTGCAGTGGTAACTGATTTCATGTTATCCTCAGGAAATAGCCTTGCTGGAGTCCAACTGTCCAAGTAAAGTAGAAGAGGACAGCACATTTATAGCAAATAAGGACTGTACTGTGGGAGTTCTGCTAAGATAAATATAACTTGACATAATATCTAAGGACTGGTATCTCTGTCCATATTTTATCATACTACTTCTATAGCCTCAATACTGTAAGTCACATTACTGTGGAACCTGGCATAAGCTCTTTATTAACTTCCTTCTAAAAGAAGTTTATGCCATACCTCCAATTCAGGGACAAAAATCATGAATATGATAAAATAATCCTTTTGATTACAGTCTCATCTGTTTATACACCCTCTGTTTCTCTGCATCTACAGTAAAGGTAACCAATTTGAGGCTGTTTTTTTTTTATCTTCAGGGGTACATGTGCAGGTTTGTTATATAGGTAAACTTCTGTCATGGGGGTTTGTTGTACAGATCATTTCATCACCCAGGTATTAAGCCTACTACCCATTAGCTATTTTTTCCTGATCCTCTCCCAGGCTGAATTTTTCTCTGCAAAGGAAACACTATTCACAAAAAGATTGTCTTTTGCGAAAAAGACAATCAGCAGTAAAAGTTTTGATTACTTTTTAAATTCATGAGCAAAATTACAGGTGATGTGTCTGACATACTCATTTGCCTGCTTTTCTGCAAATGGTCTCTGTCAACGTCTAGCTTTTTCTCAGCCAAATCCAACAGCCTCCAGAAGAGCTGCTAATACTGAAACTTAGTTGGGCAAAGGCTTCCAGCTCAGAGAAGTGATACACTTGTAAGGGTATAGAATCTCTTTTTCTAGAAACACCCTGGCTTCACACCAATCAATTCTCTCTTCTCAATGCAGCTTTTATTTAAGCTATAATCTACACTTTCCCTCTCCATATCAGCTGGATATTTTGCCCAATAAACAGATCTCTGTGCAGTATACTGCAGAGCTGAGTGTTCTTCCAAAGGGAGGGAAAAATCCTGTTGCCTCTCTACTCAATCTGGTTGAGCTCCAGGCATGGCAGTTACGCACAAGATGAGATGACTCTGCAGAAAATTACCACCACCACTTGCAGCTAGAATGCCTCTTTTTCCATGTCATTGCTGGTAAAGCCAGCAGGGCATAGACTCAATGGAGAAGAGACAGGGATTTGGACATAGGATATGGCAATGTAAACAAAGGGAGGAAGCCACCAAGGAACAAGTATAATAAGATGTTTAGACAACCTGTTCATGCATTTACTTTTGTTAAATAGGAGTGAAATTACAGGATTCCTCAATTTTGAAGTTTTTTTCTCCCTCCAAATAAAAATTCACAATGGAAAGAAAATGTCCATTTTCTAGAATATGGAAATATACCTAAGGCTGAAGAGATTTTCCTTTGTTCAAAAATATGTACATATACACACAATGCTGATGTGCAAAAAGTACATAGATGTGTATTTAAAAAGTAAAAAACTCTATGTGATACTCTTATAGTGAATACATGTCATAAATTTGTCCAAACCCATATAATATACAACACCAAGAGTGAACCCTATTGTAAACTATGGGCTTTAGTTTATAATGATGTGTCAATATAGACTAACGAGCTGTAACAAATGTACCACTCTGGTGGAGGATGCTGACCATGGGGGAGACTATGCATGTGTTGGGGCAAGTTATATAGGGAAATGTCCATACCCTTCACTCAATTTTGCTGTGAACCTAAAACTGTTTTTTAAAAAAATAAAGTTGATATATTTGTGTCTGTATATACACAAATATATATACATACATACATACATACATACATACATACATACATACATATACGAATAAAAGTAAATAAGATTGGGGCTGGGTGCAGTTGCTCACACCTGTAATCCCAGAACTTTGGGAGGCCAAGGCGGGCAGATCAGGAGTTCCAGTCTGGCCAACATAGTGAAACCCTGTCTCTACTAAAAATAAAAAAATTAGTCGGGTGTGGTGGTGTGCACCTGTAATCCTAGCTACTCAGGAGAATTGTGTGAACCAAGGAGGCAAAGGTTGCAGTGAGCTGAGATTGTGCCACTGTATTCCAGCCTAGGTGACAGAGTGAGACTCCATCTCAAAAAAAAAAATTGGAAGGCAATATTATATATAAATATTATATAACAAAAGATGATGGTGATTATCAGTCTTGATTAAAGAAGTATAATAATCTGTTGTCTTCTAAAATTTTTTTAAATGAACATGATGATGATGATTATTATTTTGAGACAGGGTCTTACTCCGTTGTTCAGGGTGGAGTGCAGTGGCACAATCATGGCTCACTGAAGCCTCAAACTCCCAGGCTCAGGTGATTCTCCCAATTTGGCCACCCCACAAGTGCTGGGTTTATAGCTGTGAGCAACCATACCTGGCCAGAATTATTTTTTTAATAAGAAAAAAACTCAAGACAGAAGATTATGCCTGACAATAATGAAATCATGGTATTTCTCTACTAGCAGAAATGCTCAAATGTATTTGTAGTTGATTAGGGAAATGTAATTTTAGGAAAATTAGATTTTTTTTCTGTTTACAATACTGTTAACATTGGCTTGCATAGCCTAAGATATACCACTTGAGGAAGGAGTAGTTCTTGAGTGGGTGGCACCAGAGACACAGGAAAGCATACATTAAATAAAACAGGTAGATCAGTCAGAAACTGTATTTCATATTCATCACGTCTGTATTTTTTTACATGTTAAAAGCCAAGCTCAATGGGAAACTTGACTCCCAAGTTTTCAGCTTCAGTCACATGAGCTCCTTTTAGCTACAGGTATTTGCCCTTCATAAAAACTAGTCTCAGTAAGACAGTTGGGAGGGCCCCATAGAATGAGTGACTCACAAGTTTTCTATAGATAACACAAAGATTCTTTCCAATAATATGAGAGCAGGATATATCTGAATCCTTGTGGAAATACACATAAGAGACAACAAAGTCAGGTACCTTTCAAATGGAAAGGCCAATGACGGTTTTGCAGTACGATCTATAACCAGAAATGGCAACACATATTGGTCAGTTATTTAATGGAAAAGAAGTTCCCCTCCCAGCTCACAGCTTTTCATGAGTAATTGCATAGCTAATATACCACTACGAATTATTCTAGACTCACATATCCTAGGGTGTCAACAAGTTATTTCAGGGCACAAGCCTTCAAAGGCACAGTCTGAGTGCCTCATGAAATAAACTCGAATATTCAGAGTGAGGCGGATCCAGTTGAGTCAATTCCTTGCATTTACTCCCCTTTTCTTCTGGTTTCCCAGTTTCTAATCATTTCACAGTTCATAAATGTCCTCAAGAAGAGAAAGGAAGTAAAAATCAAACCAACTGATTTAGTTCCTTGTAAGCATTTTTGGTAAAAGTGTGCGGGAAGTGGACACAAAATGAGGTTTTGGCATTCTCCACTGATTTTAATTATTCTTGTTAACTTTGTTCCCACTACATGTACAGATAAGAACTAAAACTCTAACATTTGAGAGAAAAATAGATCTTAGGATTTTTCGAAGCTTTCATAATCTACCTGTTAGGTCTCCTTGGGCTAATTACAAGGTCACTAAATGTGCAGGAACCATGAAGAACAATTTTTAGTCACCAATTTTTTTTTGGTAATCATAAAAGTAGAGACTCAAAGTATAGCTATAAGGTTTTGTATGTTTGAAGTGGTAGTCTCTTGTCTCTCAGTTATAGTAGCTCCCACCAGCTCTACTCAGATATATCAGACCTTAGACACATTTGCAGATTTGAGAGTGACCTTCAAGGCTAATTAAGGCTAATTAAGACTATTAAGACTAAGGATCATCTATGTAAGACTAATTTGGTGCCAGGTGCTCATGCCTGTAATCCTAGCACTTTGGGAAGGCCAGGTAGGCAGATTGCTTGAGCTCAGGAGTTCGAGACTAGCCTGGGTAACATGGTAAAACCCCATCTCCACAAAAAATACAAAAATTAGCTGGGGGTGGCACATGCTTGTGGTCCCAGCTACTCAGAAAGCTGAGCCACTATACTACACCATGTACAACAGAGAGAGACTCTGTTTCAAAAATTAAAAAAGAAAATGAAAATAAAAATGAGGGCCAGGCATGGTGGCTCACACCTGTAATCACAGCTCTTTGGGAGGGCAAGGCAGGTGGATCACCTGAGGTCAGGAGTTCAAGACCAACGTGGCCAAGATGGCAAACCCCGTCTCTACTGAAAATACAAAAATTAGCCAGGTGTGGTGGTGTCGCCTGTAGTCCCAGCTACTCTGGAGGCTGAGGCAGGAGAACTGCTTGAACCCAGGAAGCGGTAGTTGCAGTGAGCCAAGATTGTACCACCTCACTCCAGCCTGGGTGACAGTGAGACTCCGTCACACATACACAGACACACACACAGACACACACACACACACACACACACGTAATAAGATAATTGATGAGGTTTGGGTTTAAGTACTTTTGTCTTTAATGTAAGTTACGTTTTATTTATGTATAATAAAATTTAACAATTGCTCCCACCCATGAGTCCATATGGGCTAGCTTCAGTACACCACTTAAAGTGGCCTTAAAACTTACCAAAAACACATGCTCAAATATCTGTGTAGGGCTATCCATTTGACCAAGGATCACTATCATTTCATTGTCTATAAATTCCTTGAATTCCCGCAAGTTGCACACCATTTGCATTTCCAACTCTGTTCTTATCTGAAACAAAGATGACATATTGTACTCATCTCTTAAAGACCCTCTGTACTTTCAACCATGCACTGTTTCTAGCCCCACACCCATTGTTATCCCACTGCTAGCCTTGGAACAAATGAGGAATCAAGGTCTCTTACCTCTTTGGATGTAATATTCTCCAAATCCTTCTGCATCATGATCTCCCTTAATTTGGTTTTAATTAGCCTTTCTGTTCGTTCACGTTCAGTTGGTCTGAGAAGAGAGAAATGATTTTTCTTAAGCAGAAATTTGACTAAATTCATTAATGTACCATTTGATTAGGTTTCCAATCTAGCAAACTTTGCCTCTATTACCCTCAAGTTCATATTGTAGAAGCATGGCAAAATAAAATTCTATTTTAAAAAGTGTATTAGTTTATTTTCAGAATGTACAGGATTTAAACATGTTAGAAGTTATTACTCTGAAGAGGTTTTATATGTGTAAAGTCCTTAAATACATTAATGTATATAGATCATGAGGGAGCAAAGATAATTTGGGTATACTGAGTGTAATACTTTAATGGAGCACCATATCCATACTTTTTCTCTTTAAGTATCCCTGAGTATCACTTACTGAGCTAGAATACCCAGCTGGGTAGACCAGTAGTATGACCTACCATGGAACTAAAGTCTTCTGTGGTTTAAAATGCCACCTTATGCTGATAAGTCATTGTTGTGGTTCTAGAAAATGGGAAAGAAAGAAGAATGATCCTGCCTTCTTCAATAAGGCAAATCCTCTCCCAAAATGGGTTGCAGAGATCAACTACTTAGAGCAGTGGTCCCCAGTGGGTACTGGTCAGTGGCCTGTTAGAAGCTGGGCAGCAGAACAGGAGGTGAGGGGCGGGCAAGCATTACTGCCTAAAAGCCTCCTGTCAGATCAGCGGCAGCATTAGATTCTCACAGGAGTGCAAACCCTGTTGTGAACTGCACATGCGAGGGATCAAGGTTGCATGTTCCTTATGAGAATCTAACTAATGCCTGATGATCTGCGGTGAAACAGTTTCATCACGAATCTATCCCCACTCCACTGCTCCCTGTCTGTGGAAACTGGTCCCTCGTGCCAAAAAGGTTGGGGACTGCTGACTTAAAGAGTACTTTCATCCAGAATGCCTTCCTTTTAATGACAACTCTCACAGTATCTCTGTGAAGTAGTTATCTTCGTTTTACAGGTAGAGGAAACAAACAACTGAAAAGCTAAGTGAACTGCTGATAACCACACTGAGGCACAAGAATTAGAACTCTCAGCCCAGCCTAATGCTCTACCTAAAGGATTATGTCACTTCCTTTAGTCTTCTGACTCTCTTAAAAATAAAATCACCCTTGGAACTTCAATATGAAATCAAACTAGGTAGCAGACTCTCCAATTATTAGAAAGGTAGTGGTTCAATGTAACTAGATACTTCTCCTCTAAAGCATTATTTCGGATTATGCGAAATTTGAATGAGGCTGACAGAGAGTACTTTGTTTGATCTCCTCCCCAACCCATACCACCTACTCAAGAAAGGAATCTGGCTCTGCACCTCCTTATTTGGAGATGAAAATGGACTAAGCCTTCAGGCATCCTGCCTGCCCTTGCTGCCTACAGCCTTATCACTGGCTGTAAAAATAGCTTTGGTAATCTCCAAAGATGGATGCTCTAACCCTACAACCTTGGGGCCTCTCACCACTGGGCTCTTAATTTCTCATGAACCCTACAGAATACAGCCAATACCTGAGCTGTTTCTCTTCAATTAGCCAAGGTATTCCTGTCTTAATTAACTAGGATTACAATTCTTATTTGTGCTTTATTTCTCCTAGATAACTAATGATAGAAAATAAATGTATAATTTCAGTCTTCCATTAAAAATAAATATTGGGCCAGGAGCAGTGGTTAATGCATGTAATCACAGCACTTTGGGAGGCCGAGGTGGGTGGATTGCGTGAGTACAAGAATTCGAGACCAGCCTGGGCTACTGGTAAAACCCCGTATCTACAAAAAGTAAAACAAAAAATTAGCTGAAAAGTAAAATTAAAAATTAGCCAGGCATAGTGGCACATGGCTGTAGTCCCACAGCTACTTGGGAGGCTGAGGTGGGAGGATTCTTGAGCCCTGGAGGTGGAGGCTACAGTAAGCCCTGATTGTACCACTGCACTCCAGCCTGGGTAACAGAGCAAGACTCTGTCTCAAGGTAGAAAAAAAAAAAAAGGTAAATACAAATTAAATACAAATTTTAGTACCTATGTTCATGGGTCAGATTTCCTGGTTCCTAAGCAAATTTTCCCTCAATCCCTCACAAGTATTTGAGGCAGGGTGGTTGGGAAGTAGAGAGACCTAGGTTTTAATCCCAGCCCTGCTATTGATGGTGTGACTTATAACAAGTTCCTTCTCTTCCCTAGGCCTCTGTTTCCTTTTCTATAAAATGAGTAGAGCAGACCGGCCAGGATGGTTCACACCTGTAATCCCAACACTTTGGGAGGCCAAGGTAGGTGAATCACCTGAGGTCAGGAGTTCGAGACCAGCCTGGCCAACATGGTGAAACCCTGTCTCTACTAAAAATACAACAACTAGCCGTGCATAATGGCGGGCGCCTGTAATCTCAGGTACTTGGGAGGCTGAGGCAGGAGCATTGCTGGAACCTGGGAGGTGGAGGTTGCAGGGGGCTGAGATGGGGCCATCGCACTCCATCCCGGGCTGATAACAGCGAGACTATGTCTCAAAAAAAAGAGTAGAGCAATAATACCTGTCTCTACATGTTAGACAGGTAGAATATCTTTATACATGTTACTTAATCCTCATAAGAATACTTAATCCTCATAAGAATATAATTCTTATGAGGATTAAGTAACATGTACGAAGTGCTGAGCATAACACCAGATGTGTATCCCCTATACGTGTATTCCCTTCTTCCTTTCCTTGGATTTCAAAATATAAATTATTCACAATAGAGTAAGTCTATTTTGGCACACATTCTCCCTGTATTCTCAGCATTGCTTTATAGGCTTTTCTAGTCAACTTAGGGAGGAGGGGAAATAGAAAAAGCATTACAACACACAAATCTGCTTTTTCCTTGTTGATTTCATTTGATAAAAATTTGGAAAATACATAAAAATACAAAGTAAATAAAAACCACTGAAAACTCCTCTACCCAGAGAAAATTATTATTAATACTCTGGCCTACAGCTTCCACTTATTCTTTTTCTGTGAACAGACAGATGTTCTTTAAATATATCTTAAATTAGGGTTACACTGTACCTACTAACAGTTAATAAGCTTTATATTTGCCAGGGACTGCCTTTTATGTTTTTTGCTTAGGGATATAAAGAGCAATTTCTTTTTTCTTCTTGTTTTTTGTGCTGTTTCAAAATCTTCTCTAATAAATTTTTTTTTTTTTGAGACAGATTCTCGCTCTGTTGCCCAAGCTGGTGTGCAGTGGCACAATCTGTGTGATCTTCTTGGGTCAGTGCAACCTCTGCCTCCTGGGTTCAAGTGATGCTCCTGCCTCAGCCTCCTGAGTAGCTGGGATTATAGGCGCATACCACCATGCCCAGCTAATTTTTGTATTTTTATTAGAGACGTGGTTTCAACATGTTGGCCAGGCTGGTCTTGAACTCCTGACCTTCGGTAATTTACCCACCCTGGCCTCCCAAAGTGCTGAGATTACAGGGTGAGCCACTGTGCCCAGCTGTCTCTAATAAAATCTGGAAAAATGGGAAGAAAAGTTATCTTTCTCTCATGTAAGTCTGGTTTAGAATGTGCTTTTTTTGAGCTAGATGAGACATCCATTCCTCTCAAACCCATCATCCAACTGTAAAGCATGAAATCACCAGTAACATTTCCCATGAATATTCATCTTTTCAATTACTGTGAGATCTTCAAAAGACCAAGGCTACTGAAAAGAAGGTCCTGGTAGCAATAACACCCTGTGCAAAAAGATACTCTACTGCTTTTTTGACTGTTGCTTTCATACAATTTTTGGAAAGTTCACCTTTTCCAGGAAAGAACATTTGTTAGGCCAGAAGCAGTGGCTCATGCCTATAATCCCAGCACTTTGGAAGGCTGAGGCAGGTGGAGATCAGCCTGGCAAATATGGTGAACCCCATCACTACTAAAAATGCAAAAATTAGCTGGCCATGGTGGCACATGCCTGTAGTCCTAGCTACTCGGGAGGCTGAAGCAGGAGAATTGCTTGAACCCGGGTAGCAGAGGTTGTAGTGAGCCAAGATCATGCCACTGCATTCCAGTCTGGGTGACAAGTGAGACTTCGTCTCCAAAAATAAAACACATTAAAATATTCTGTTAAGAAAACCACAAACTGTTTTGGCATAACTTTAGGAATCTGAAGGAGAATCCTGTTTGTAAGGTCAGACAGTAACTGGCTACTCTTCTTTCCCTCCTATAGAATACCTTGGAAGTGCAGAAAGATCAATTTAGAGCAAAAGAAACATCATGATGAATTTACAAAGCAGGCACTAAGTATAAAACAAATTTTTAAAATACGGCTGGGTGCAGTGGCTCCCACCTGTAATTCCAGCACTTTGGGAGATTGAGGTGGGTGGATCACCTGAGGTCAGGAGTTCAAGGCCAACATGGTGAGACCCCGTCTCTACTAAAAAATATAAAAATTAGCTGGGCGTGGTGGCACACGCTTGTAATCCCAGCTACTCGGGAGGCTGAGGCAGGAGAACTGCTTGAACCTGGGAGGCAGAGGTTACAGTGAGCTGACATCACACTATTGCACTCCAGCCTGGGCAACAGAGTGAGGTTCCATCTCAAAAAAGAAATAATTTCCAAAACAGTCACAGAAGTTTGAACACATAGATCTAAAAATGAAAGAAACATCAGCGTTACCTTAGGCCTTTATCTAACTTATAATACACTGGGAAGATTTAATTAAATCATACTGACAAGGACTTAACAAGGCAAAGGTAGAACAGAATAAGACATCTGAGCAATAAAATATTTAAAATAATTTTTTAAAGTTAAAAATTAGCAGGCTGGGTGTAGTGGCTCACACCTGTAATCCTAGAGGATTGAGGCCAGGAGCTGAAGACCAGCCTGGGCAACAGTGAAACCCCATGTCTAAAAAGTAAAAATTTAAAAATTAGCCAGTTGTGATGGCATATGCCTGTAGTCCTAGGTACTTTGCAGGCTGAAGTGAGGGGATCACTCAAGCCCAGGAGTTTGAGGCTGCAGTGGCTATGACTGTGCCATTGTACTCTAGCCTGAATGACAGAGATCCCGTCTCTTAAAAAAAAAATTAGCTTAACAACTCAGGCATTCTTTTTTTTTGAGACCAAGTTTCACTGCCACCAGGCTGAAGTGCAATGGCGTGATCTTGGCTCACCAGAACTTCTGCTTCCTGCAACCTCTGCTTCCTGGTTTCAAGTGATTCTCTTGCCTCAGCCTCCTGAGTAGCTAGGATTACAGGCATATGCCACCATGACTGGCTAATTTTGGATTTTTTGTAGAGACAGGGTTTCTTCATGTTGGTCAGGCTGGTCGTGAACTCCTGAGGTCAGGTGATCTGCCCGCCTCGGCCTCCCAAAGTGTTGGATTTATAGGTGTGAGCCACTGTGCCCGGCCTACTTAGGCATTCTTTTAACTTGACTAGAAATACCTTGTTTTCTTAAGTATTACAAACATGACTTTGAAAGCTTCTTTGTATCATTGATATGCTTACTAAATTGATTCTTTTAAATAATGCATACTCAAATTTCAGCTCAATTCCTTTAAACTCAAATTTCAAATTAGTGAAATATGAATAATGAAATTTTATGGTATTGCAGTTCTTGACTATGGAGACTCTATTGTACCCTGGGGTGAAGCTTCTCAGGCCTTTGCAGGCAACCATAGGATTCTTTTTGTCTTTTTGAGATGGATGGAGTCTCACTCTGTCACTCAGACTGGAGTGCGGTGGTGTGATCTCGGCTCACTGCAACCTCTGTCTTCCGGGTTCAAGTGATTCTCCTGCCTCAGCCTCCTGAGTAGCTGGGATTACAGGCACCTGCCACCACGCCTGGCTAATTTTTGTATTTTTAGTAGAGATGGGGTTTCACCATATTGGCTGGGCTGGTCTCAAACTCCTGACCTCAAATGATCTGCCTGCCTCGGCCTCCCAAAGTGCTGGGATTACAGGCGTGAGCCACCATGCCCGGCAAGAATGGGATTCTTTATATGTGGCAGATACATGCTATTGACAGTGACTAATATTCCTACGTAAGATTAATTCCCCAAGAGAAAAGACTAGGGAGGAACATGCTTCTTGTAACTCCTCAGGACATAATGGAGAAAACTTCCATAATCCTTAGCAAACTGACTTACATGTCGGTGAAGAGAGTTGGAGAGTCAGGCCGGTGGGACTGTACATCTTGCATAGCATTCCATTCATTGACTGAGGATTGATCTGAGTTGATATGGCTCTCATAATAACTCACCCAGGTGAGAAACAGGCTGCCTGGGTAGTAGTTATGCACTCTGGCGACTTCACAAGCCTTGTGTAAGCTCTGTAGTGCAGACCTGAAAGATATGCTGGGAAATGAGCACCATAGAACTGTGGGGTACCAAAGGCCAATAACCTGTGTACCCCAAACTCTTCTAATTTTTAATTTCTATAGAATTTATCCTCTGGAAAATCTACCCCCTGAAATTCAAGATTCTCCAATTCTGATTATACCATATTATCTATCCACAGCAATGAACAAGACATTTGCTGAAAGAGATGATGCATCATTAAGATAAGGAGAAGGTGGGGAAGGAGAGCTGACAACTCACCAGTGAAAAATAGGTCCAGGTACCTATGGAGCACCTGATCCTATACTATAGTTGGAACCATGCAGTGACTGCTGTATCATTAGAAAACTAAAGATCTAAATAATTTACCATATAAATATTTGTTTTCCTCAGCACAGGATGTTACAACATACATTTTCTGTAATTCTTAAGAGGTTTCACAAAGGTCACACAGATAGATGTCTCTAAGCCTTGAGGACATGTCCTATGTCCTTTAATATCCAGGAAATACTGATCTAATAATATTTATTATTCTTGCTGCCTTAGTATCCTAGTCTCTTTAAATCTATGAGCTATTTTCTAAGAACAGATCTGATTATTCTTTTTTCTTGAGACAGTAGTATCTCCTTCTGTTGCTCAGGCTGGAGTGCAGTGGCATGTTCTGTGCTCACTGCAACCTCCACCTCCTGGGTTCAAGCAATTCTCATGCCTCAGCCTCCCAAGTAGTAGCTGAGATTACAGGCACATGTCACTATGCCAGGCTAATTTTTGTATTTTTAGTAGAGATGGGTTTTTGCCATGTTAGTCAGGCTGGTCTTGAACTCCTAGCCTCAAGAGATCTGCCCATCTTGGCCTCTGAAAATGCTGGGATTACAGGCATGAGCCACCCCATCTGGCCTAGCTCTGGTAATTCTGAGACTAATTAAACCTTCTGACTCTGTCTGAACTCAGGAGCCCAAGAAGAGTAAACAAACTGAAAAGTACATTTTTTGTTATATATGTGGGAAAAGCTTAAGCTAGAATACTAGGAAGTAAGTTATAAAAGAGAAGAATCTTTCTACATTTTGTTTACCTAAGTGACTAAAAGAATACCTACTTCATAGGTGAAGTTCAATTAGTATTTGTTGAGCAAAATGTCTTATTAGCTATAAACTAATGTCTAAGAAAAAAAGGCATTTATGGCCAGGCACGGTGGCTCATGCCTGTAATCAGCACTTTGGGAGGCCAAGGCAAGTGGATTACTTGAGGTCTGGAGATCGAGTTCAGCCTGGTCAACATTGTGAAACCCTGTCTCTACTAAAAATACAAGAATTAGCAGGGCACGGTGGCACACGCCTGTAGTCCCAGGTACTTGGGAGGCTGAAGCGAGAGAATTGCTTGAACCTGGGAGACAGAGACTGCAGTTAGGTGAGATCATGCCATTGCACTCCAGCCTGACAGAGCAAGACTCTACCAAAAAAAAAGAAAAAGTCTTTTTGTTTCCCCATAACAAAAGTGATCCATGCCCGCTTTAGAAAATCAGGGACCTCAGAGAAAAGGCAGAAATATCCTGTAATCCTACCACCCTGAAATAATCACTCTTAAAGTTTTAGTGTACATCTTTCCAGTCTTTTTGTCTATGCATAGATGTATAATAAACAAAAATATGACCATATTCTCCAGTCCACTTATAACTTGCTCTTTTGCTTTACAGCCTATCATCAACATCATTCCATGTCAAATATTTTCCAACTGGATTTTTTTTTTTTTTTGAGATAGAGTCTCGCTCCATCACCCAGGCTGGAGTGCAATAATGCCCTCTTGGCTCGCTATAACCTCTGCCTCCCAGGTTCAAGCGATTCTCCTGCCTCAGCCTCCCAAGTAGCTGGTATTACAGATGGGTACCACCAGACCCGGCTAATATTTGTATTTTTAAGTAGAAAGGGGGTTTTACCATGTTGGTCAGGCTGGTCTCAAACCCCTGACCTTGTGATCCACCCGCCTCAGCTTCCCAAAGTGCTGGGATTACAGGCATGAGCCACTGCACCTGGCTCCAACTGGATCACTTTTAATGGTTGCATAATATTTAATAATATAGATACACCGTAATTCACTAATTCCTAATTTTCAATCATTTAGATGGTTTTCCTTTCTTTTTTCTTTTTTTTTTTTTGAGATGGAGTCTAGCTTTGTTGCCCAGGAGTACAGTGGCACGATCTCAGCTCACTGCAACCTCCACCTCCCAGATTCAAGCAATTCTCTTGTCTCAGCCTCCCGAGGAGCTGGAACTACAGGCGCCCGCCACCACACCTGGTTAAGTTTTGTATCTTTAGTAGAGATGGAGTTTCACCATTTTGATCAGGGTGGTCTTGAACTCCTGACCTCAGGTGATCCACCCACCTGACCTCCCAAGGGGCTGGGATTACAGGCGTGAGCCACTGTGCTTGGCTTGTTTTTCGTTTTTTGCTGACAAACATTCTTATAGCTAAAATCTTTGTACACATCCATGTTTACAAACTTAGAGTAAACTCATAGAAGTGGAGTTTACTAGGTCAAAGATCATGCAAAATGGTAAGGCATACTGGCAAATCACTCTCCAGAAAGGCTGCTCCAGTTAATTCTTCCACCAATAGTACATAACAGTGTTTGTTCCTTGAATCTCTATCAACCCTATACAACGTACATTAAGAAAACAAATTTAAAACTATTTAATAAGAGAAAAACGTGTCAGTCTATTTTTATTAGGAAAACACATTTTTCCTTAAAAGCATAGTTGCAGAGTCTTTTAGAAATGCTTTCAATTATTTAAAGTAAGCCAAAGTCTCAAGAGAATAATCTGAGAATTTCAGTTTCATTATACAGATTCAAAGGTAAGAGCCAGCTTAGTGCAACTTACGGAATGCCTAATGCATGTCTCTTCATCTAAGAAACACATGCTCTAAAAGCATATGCCAGAATCTGGTGCAACTGCTCTAAAATACACTCAAGGCTTAGCCACTTCAGATGCTCCAGCATTGGAGTGCAAAGCTGCAGTTAAGTATCTTCCTGTGAAGGAAACACCTGGTCTAAATGCTGCTTTGATCCACACATCATCTATTTTTTTTCTCCTGTGACTTCAACCTACTACTCCCCATAAGGTACATCAAGAAAAGTTTATTCTGCAATAAGCTAACAGAGCTAGGATGGGGTATCCAATTTTTTGACTTCCCTGGGCCACGTTGGAAGAACTGTTTTGGGCTACACATAAAATACACTAATGATAGATGATGACTTAAAAATAAATTGCAAAAAAATCTCATATTTTAGGAAAGTTTTATGAATTAGGATTAGAATTTTAAGAAACTTATATGAATTTAGGAAAGTTTTATGAATTAGGATTAGAATTTTAAGAAACTTATATGAATTTAGGAAAGTTTTATGAATTTGTGTTGGGCCACATGCAAAGCCGTCATGGGCTGTATGTGGCCTATGGGCCACGGGTTGCACAAGCTTGCTTTAGAACATCAAAGCTTGGCTGGGTGCGGTTGGCTCACGCCTGTAATCCCAGCACTTTGGGAGGCTGAGGAGGGCAGATCACGAGGTCAGGAGATTGAGACCATCCTGGCTAACATGGTGAAATCCAATCTCTACTAAAAATACAAAAAATTAGCCAGGCGTGGTGGCATGCTTCTGTAGTCCTAGCTACTTGGGAGGCTGAGGCAGGAGAATTGCTTGAACTCAGGAGGTGGACGGTGAAGTGAGCCGAGATACTCCAGCCTGGGCGACAGAGCAAAACTTCATCTCAAAAAAAAAAAAAAAAAAAAAAAAAAAGAACATTACTTGAATTAAGACTGCTCTGTACGCTTCCCCAAAATATACCCCAAAACACTGTCATTTGTGGTTGTTACTGCTGTTTGGCTTTACTTGTTACTTATGAATAGGTCAATTGCCTTTAACTGAGCCTTAGTCAAAGGAGGTCATAAATTTTGTAAGCTTTCCATGAGAAACTTACCTGCAAAATATGCCCTAACTCTAAAAATCTGGTCTAAACACATGACCTGAAACTCTGTCCTATCTTAATTACTGCAGGAAACGATAAGACTTAATTGTTCAGTGAGTCTTTGGACTCCACCCACCTCCATCCTATCAATTCTGTTTTTCAGGGGTAGATTATCTCCCTGGAGTTTTTTCAGGCTCTTTTATTTCTTGTTTTGCTTGTATTCTGTCCATTCCACTCCTCACAGGGACTTCTACTACACAGGCAGCTGAATAAGAAAATTAAATTCAAATCCCTGACTGGGGGATGGATACTGAATCTTAGTCATATCATTCTCTAGTTATATAATTTTCTAGATAATCTAGAATAAGAGAATAAAGGCCAGGTGCAGTGGCTCACATCTGCAATACCAGCACTTTGGGAGGCCGAGGCAGGAGGACTGCCTGAGGCCAGGAGTTCAAGACCAGCCTGGGCAACACAAAGAGACCCCAGTCTCTAAAAAAATAAAATAAAATAAATTAGCCAGGTGTAGTGACACATGCCTATAGTCATGGCTGCTTAGGCGGCTGAGGTAGAAAGAACACTTGAGCCCAGGAGTTGGAGGCTGCCATGAGCTATGATTGCACCACTGCATTCCAGCCTGGGCAACAGAGGGAGACCCTGTCTCTATAAAAGAGAGAGAGAGATGGAGATAGAGATGAGAGAGAGAAAGACATCTATCCTATCTAAGTGTAATGTAAGAAATACTCTGCTGAGACTTGATTATGACAAAAACAAATAAATAAAAGAAAAGAGAGACATACTCTCAGGCCAGTTATGTAACCCCTCCAAAACCTGTTTTCTCATTCATAATAAGGGGCTAATATTATTTTGGGGGCTTGGTATAATGATTAAATATAATCCATGTAAATAACCCCAAAATGTCCACATGACAGCTGATGGTTATTAGCAAGTATAACGTTTTCTCTAGGCTTTATTTGCATTATGAAAATAGCCACCAGCAGTTTAAATGGAAATTTATCTATCTGTAAAGTAACTCTGTGAATGTTATCCCTGGTTACCTTAAGAAATAGCTAATGCAGGCCAGGTGAGGTGGGTCACGCCTGTAATCCCAGCATTTGGGAGGCTGAGGCAGGTGGATCACGAGGTTAGGCGTTCCAGACCAGCATGGCCAATATGGTAAAACCCCATCTCTACTAAAAAATACGAAAAATTAGCCAGGCGTGGTGGCGTGCCTGTAGTTCAGCTACTTGGGAGGCTGAGGCAGGAGAATCGCCTAAATCCAGGAGGTGGAGGTTGCAGTGAGCTGAGATCGCACCACTGCACTCCAGCCTATGAGACTCGGTCTCCAAAAATAAAAAAGAAAAGAAATAGCTGGTACACAGCAGTGTGATGTTCTAGACTTGGCTCTTAGTCCACTAAGTAACTAACTTAGTCAATGTGTCCGTAATAAAACTCAGTTTCAACTGGCTTATCTGAACCATTAAGTCTCTGCCAGAGCCTAGAATACCACCTCTGAATTTCACTTGTTCACCAACACTTCTAATTGCAACAATTTGAATGTTGCATTTCTAGGTCATCTTTAACTATGGTGGTTACACGAACAGATCATTCAGCATTTTCATAGCAAACGGTACCATTTCTCACAACGTATTGCTCCAATAACATTAAAACACTTTCATAGAGATAGTAAAGTCATCTTACCACATTGCCTGCACAGATACAGGTTTGAAGATGTGAACTCTGTTATCAGTCGATACGCTGAACCCACTAAGGACAAATGAGAACAAGACAAAAATCCACAAATTAGGGTAGGTTATTTCAGTTGTAAGTTTTCAAGGATGTTTCCCAGGCTTACAACTGGCTCAGTAGAAGGAATTATCAGGCATTTCATGTAGAATTTTTAACTAGAGCATAAGACTTGACCGAAAAGGTTCAACAAATTGTCTGATTTCATCTACCAGGCAAAATGAATGGATTCCCATATTGGAGTTAGGAAACTAAATGCAGTTTCCCAGCTGTAGCTGTGGACAAACTGTTCTGTATATTTCTGTTTAGAAGTCTTGTGGATTCTTAGCAAACCTGACCCTGGTTTTATAAACTGGAGCAAACATCTTTGTCTCTTGGGGACACATTCTAAAAACATTAGGAGGTAGGTGGGGGTGGGGTCACTGGAAGGAACTGGCACAGGAAAAGGGTTATACTGTAGGCTGACAGCTGGCAGAAGCAGCAAGAGGTTATTTGAAACAGAACATATCATCCTTTGGGAGAGCATTGCAACAGTCCCACATGCTCAGATTAAAGAGCCAACAAACTAGTTCTTCTTTGTCTTGATTCCTACCACAGTTGGCCTAGAAGAACAGAAGTGAGAGACCCTGGCAAGTTGTATTTTTACTCCATTTTACAAAACAGGAGTTTAAAAGGACTCATTGAGTTGCTGACATGAAAGTTCAGTTGGCACACTGGACCTACCTTTTAGCTGAATGAATGGGCACTAAGATGGAACCCCACCCCTTGGCTTTCTGTAACAGAATGAAAAAGGAAATCTCTTACCCATCACCATCCAAATGAATTAGTGTGTCGCTCCAGAGAGGCAAAACTAAGCCCATGGTACAAGTGCTACTGCAAGAGAAGAAATAGTCCACAAGTTACTCCTGTTACTCTGGGAAGCAGTCTTTTGTTTACTAACTCTTTCAACATGAAGGATAAACTCTTAAATTCCAAATTCTGGCATATGTGTTATAGTAAATAAATTTCTATCATATTACTACTAATCTTATGTAGAAGATTAATAGGAGACTCAGGAGCTTTTTTTTTTTTAAGAGATAGTGAGTCAGTTCCTTAAATATTTAATAAAGAAAACTTACTGACTCAGCTTCCTACATTGTCATCTTGCAGATGGCCACTATCTAAAAAATGCAGATGATTGCTATTGTCTTGCATTTGGCAGATCTTAGCACTGGGTACAGAGCCCAACTTAACTTGAAGGATTTTTTTTTTTTTTTTTTTGAGATAGAGTCTCACTCTGTTGCCCAGGCTGGAGTGTAGTGACACACTCTTGGCTCACTGAAATCTCTACCTCCCAGGTTCGAGAAATTCCCCTGCCTCAGTCTCCCCAGTAGCTGGGATTACAGGTGTGCACCACCATGCCCTGCTAACTTTTTGTACTTTTAGTAGAGATGGGGTTTCATATGTTGGCCAGGCTAGTCTTGAACTCCTTATCTCAAGTCATCCACCCACCTCAGCTTCCTAAAGTGTTGGGATTACGGGCATAAGCCAGATGTCCAGTCCCAAGGATTATTTTTAATGCCAATAACTATTGCTGGTTGCTGGAGACCTTGGGTTGTGTGATTTGCCTCTAATTCTCAGGTTTAATGAACACCAGAACACATTCAATAGATTAAAAGGGAAAGGGAATTAAAAATATAAAGCAGTAATTGTTAATAGCTTGTGATCAAGATAGACAAAACAGACATAACACAACTGAAATCAAATCAATGAAACACTGCTTTGTGACTGTGTACTGAGCTAGCACTGCTGAAACACAGAGTTAACAGAAACGTCAACAACCACCAAAAGGGTAGACCTAGTATGGTATTTAAAAATACTATTTCTTTCTTTCTTTTTTTTGAGACAGAGTCTCCCTCTGTCACCCAGGCTGGAGGGCAGTCAGCTCACTGCAACCTCTGCCTCCTGGATTCAAGTGATTCTCCTGCCTCAGCCTCCTGCTGGGATTATAGGCCTGGCTAATTTTTGTATTTTTAGTGGAGATGAGGTTTTGTCATGTTGACCAGGCTGGTCTCGAACTCCTGGCCTCAAAATGATCCACCCATCTCAGCTTTCCAAAATGCTTAGATTACAGGCGTGAGCCACTGCACCAGACCTAAAATGCTATTTCAATCACACAATAGCCCAGGAAGGACTTTAAGCTAATGGAAGAGGTTGGTACAGAAAGCATGGACCCCTGATTGCATGCTCTATCACACCTCTTCGCAGGGAAACAGTAACCTACTCCAGATAGTCACTGCCACTGTCTCTACTTAAGGCTGCTGTAACTTGCTTTTCCCCTCTGGCTAGTCTCTGAAAGGCTTCTATGATACTCCAAGCCAGTCTATCTAGAGAGGCAGCATGGTGTAGTAGAAAGAATCTAGCACACGGGAGGTGGAAAAGCACAGTATGGTATAGAGGATGGGCTCTGTTTCTGGCACTAATTGTATAATCTTAGGTGAACTACTCAATTGTTTTATGCCTTAATTTCCTCATTTGTAAAACCAGGATAAAAATATCTTCTTCATTGCACTGTTTGAAGATTAAATTTTTAAAAAGTGTATAATACTGCCTAAGCGACTAAAATGTAATAGTCATTGAACAAAAGATCTGGGATTGATTTCCTTCAGTATTACAGCTTTTTTTAAAAAATTATTTAACCTCTCTCAGCCTTAATTTCTTCATCTTAAACTGTGAATAACAAAACCTATTCTCATAGGTATACGTGTAAAGACATAACATAAACATGAATATGAATCTGTAGTGGGTGTTCCAAATACCTCTGAAAGTGATTGTTTTTAAAGCATTATTTAAATGTTTTAAAAACAGCATGAGGAATACCAAACTTTTAACTGTTAAGAGTCACTGCAGGGCTAAAGGAGGCCAGCCCTTAGTTGGGCTTTCCACTACACTTGCTGGCCTGTGCTACTTAACACCTTACTAGTGATTCCAGAGCTCAGGAGATTCAAATCAAGACTGAAACAGCTTATCCACATTGGAACCTGGACCTGAACAGCAGAAGCACAGCTACCATGCCAGAGTCCAGAAGCAAGTAAGACAGCTCAACCACAAGTTTTGTTGCGTAGATGAGATGGGCACACAAAAAATTCGTTTGAAGATGAAGTGGGGATAGTTTTACAGTAGCTTTTTGTTTTGTATTTAGTGAGTGCTTAGACAGGTTCTTAGCAACAAGTATAATTTAGAGTATAAATATGATGGGTTGGTAGTCCAGTGACAAATCTAGAAATTAACTATATAAAAAGAAAGCTTCAAAAGAGTATGATCTATAAGCTTGTGACCAGATTTTGGTTAACTTTTGGACAAGTGACATCGATATATAGGAACTAACATTACATTTTTGGTATACAGGTCAGAATGCTTTTTCACATTAAGAAGTAGCTTTTTCACACAACAGGAAGGAAAGGCCTGACTAAGGCACACTTTGTATTTTTATCTAGGCTACCTGAGTCTCTCAAGATTTTTCTCCATTAAAGTATAACTACTTATTTCAGTAAATATTCAACTCATTCAACAAAAATTTATTTAGTGCCTACTATGTACCAGACATTTCAAGGTGTTGGGGGTACAAAAAGAAATTAAAAAACCAAACAAAACCATGAAGCTCTATTATAACTTAAAATATATGCTACATTTTAGAAACCAAGACTTTGTTGCATTTAAAAAATTTTTTATTACTTATAATACTCAAAAAACTTGCAAATGGGCTAAATAAATTGGCTGCAATGCATTATTAAGAACTATTTGTACTTGTCATAATCTGGGTTCCACTTTGGCTTAATACCATTCAAGCATTAATATTTTACAGTCTCAGATATGAAATGATACAAATTCAAATTCCTTCATTGACAACTGAGACAGAAATGATTTTAGATTACCTGAGTACCTGAGACTTCTAACTGTCCAAGGAACTCATTAAAGTAGAGGACATATGGGAATTTCATAATAGCAAGTTTACCATACAGAATGAAAACTAGTTTCCAGCTTTCCATGCCTTATTTTGTCTTCTATAAACTAAAATTTCCTTTGGCTAGTGACACTAGTCAGATATGATTCAGACAAAACCACTGCAAAAGACAGATGTAGTTTACTGAGTATAAACTACTGGGTACCTATATTAATATGGATTCTTTCTGGTAAAGTTCAGGACAAAGTGAAAGAGATAAGACATGTGCTTGCTCATATTCTGGGTCAGGAGAATCTGCAGTTATTGTCTTCGGTCTTTAGGGGAGGACTCAACTGAAGTTTCATGAGGTTCCTGTTCCTGTTCTATAGGTTTTCAAGGGAGGGGGTCAGGGAGAACTGAACAAAGGAAATAGGAGCTAGACAGTGCTGTCCAACTGAACTTTCGGCAAGAACGGAAAATGTTCTATACATGTACCGTCTAATACGATAGCCACTAGCACATAAGGTTACTGAATACTTGAAATGTGACTAGTCAGAATTGAGGAATTGAAATTTCATTTAATTTTAATCTATTCAAAAAGATGCATGCTGTGTGCGGTGGTTCATGCCTATAATCCCAGCACTCAGGAAGGCAGAGGCAGGAGCCTAGGATTTGAGATCAGCCTGGGCAACACAGAGAGACCCTGTTCTCCACAAAAAGGAAAAAAAAAAAAAAAATAAGAGAAGAGAAGAGGAAGGAAGGAAGGAAGGAACGAAGGAAGGAAGGAAGGGGCACATATGATTAGTGGCTACTATACTGGACAATACAGATCTAGAGAGACTAAAAACCTAAATTAAAGGTCCTAAAATCCTAATGAATATAAACAAGGTAGGTGCTGTTATAGGAAAATACATACTGAAAGGTCTGATGCTTAGGTAACATCAGAAGTTAAAACTATGCAGGAGAAAGCTTCCTAAATGTGGTTGATAAGACTGTGTAAATTCAGAGCCTACAATTAAATGCTGTAAGTGGTATACAAGCTAATAACTTTGGATTTGTGATCCCTGTGAACCCCCAAGTCATTTTCAGGTTGACTTCTATATAGGAATAAGGTAAACACTGGTTCGGGAAACTTTCTAGTGACAACGTGATTTTTATCCCTCAACATCAGGACAATTACAATCATTCCCAGGGTCCTCTCCTCTCTTTGTGACTAAATTCCCCTAGGCCTGGGTCACACCCCTAGCTACTCCATAGTTCCATTCTTGTCCTGAACCAGGAAGTCAATGCTTTGAGACATCTGGCAGGATTTCCTGAGGCTTATTATCCAGAGTGTAAAGATCTGCTTAGCAGCCACATTCCACAGTCTTCCAAACGTTTCTCCAGAAAAAATGGGGAAAATGTAAAAGGAAAGCAACAAACCTTAAGGAGACACCTAAAAAGCCAGGTGTTGTGTATTATCTTCAATTATAGAATGTAAAGTACAACTAAAGTCAAAGGTACATAATAACAAAAAGTTCTGCTTTGAGTTTAAGGAGCCATCCTGTACTGCCCCGCCTCCCCTTCCCCCACCATCCTTTTTAACTCAATAGAAGGAAAAAGGAGGCATAACATTTGTTAAAAGTAAGGTTTAAGGACATGGAAAAATAAAACAGATTGTGGTTTAAGTGGGATCTCTTTAAATCTGGAACCACTGGTGCCCTAGAATCACCAAAGTGAATCATTACTGATTATAACAGAGTAGGCCAGGTGCAAGGCTCATGCCTGTAATATCAACACTTTGGAAAGCCAAAGCAGGACATAAGGAAATCTCATCTCTAGAAAAATTAGGAGAAAAACAAAAGGAGACCAGACAACTGGGCATGGTGGTGCACGCCTGTACTTCTAGCTACTTAGGTTAGGAGGCTGAGGTGGAAGGATCCCTAGAACCCAGGAGGAATTTGAGGCTGTAGTGAGCTGTGACTGTATCACTGCACTTCAGCCTGGGCAATAGAGTGAGACCTTGTCTCAAAAAATATATAAATAAATAAATAAAAAAAGAAAACAAACATAGAACAGACTGCCAAGAAAAAGCAGCTTTTTCCCCCTGGAAATGTAACTTTGAAACCACTTGCTTTATATCATGACTATCTAAAGATGAGACGAAGGTATGGAATAATGGTAAACGCACAACCAAAGACATCCACTAAACATTCTTGTCTCTCAAGACTGTGGCTAAGATACTTATGTTCTCTAGTTTTATGTCTTGAACTTTAACAGCAGAACTGCACAAGACATTTTTGTGATAAAAGGCAACTGGGGCCGGGCATGGTGGCTCACACCTGTAATCCCAGAACTTTGGGAGGCTGAGGCGGGCAGATCACTTGAGGTAAAGAGTTTGAAACTGGTCAACATGGCAAAACCCCATCTCTACTAAAAATACAAAAATTACCCAGGCATAATGGTGCACACCTGTAATCCCAGCTACTCCAGAGGCTGAGGCAGGAAAGTCACTTGAACCCGGGAGGTGGAGGTTGCAATGAGCCGAGATTGTGCCACTGCACTCCAGCCTGTGCAACAGAATTACACTCCATCTCAAAAAAAAAGAAAAAGAAAAAGAAAAAAAGGCAACTGGAACATGTTATTTAAAAAGCAGTTTTCACATTTTGAAATGGTACCACCATACCTGTCATTAGAGGAGAAATCCATTCCTAGGACGATGCTTTCTTCAGTGTCTTGTCTACCATTAGTTGAAACCACTACCATATAGCGTGTTCGATTCTGGTAAGTACTTTCCAGTCTTACAGCCTGGAAGTTAGCAGACAACAGAAAAATTATGAAATTTAGAACATTAATTTCAGATCATTTCAACTCTTTTTTTCATCAGTGTCTTTTTTTTTTTTTTTGAGACGGAGTTTCGCTCTTGTTACCCAGGCTGGAGTGCAATGGTGCGATCTCGGCTCACTGCAACCTCCGCCTCCTGGGTTCAGGCAATTCTCCTGCCTCAGCCTCCTGAGTGGCTGGGATTACAGGCACGCGCCACCATGCCCAGCTAATTTTTTGTATTTTTAGTAGAGACGGGGGTTTCACCATGTTGAGCAGGATGGTCTCGATCTCTTAACCTCGTGATCCACCCACCTCGGCCTCCCAAAGTGCTGGGATTACAGGCTTGAGCTACCGCGCCCGGCCCATCAGCGTCTTAAAGCATACTCAGGAAGGCAGCAGAGCCAGAGGTTAGGAGACATAAATTTAAATCTCAGCTTGTACACTAGCTATAAAACCTTTACTAAGTTACTAAATTAATTGGAGGTAGGTATATTAATACCTATCTGTCAGGTTGTTTTAAGAATCTTATAAAATAATACATGTAAAGCACAGTGCATGGCACACAGTAAATGTTGAATAAGATGTTTGCTATTAGCGTAATTTATAATAATCACCACAGTGTGTACTAAAGACTGAAGAGGGAAGCGTGAGGTATATGAATGTGAGTATTGGTCTCAAAGATGCAATTCCCACAAGCAATTATAATATGAAATAAACTATTGGCATCATCTAAGGTGAGTATTGACTTTGCTATACTGAATTCCTGCATGTTAATATACCACAAGATTTTTTGTTTCAATAATTGAAGGAGGTTTCATTTTCAGAAACTTCTCATTTTTTTGTCAAAAGTTTTAATTTATTGGTTAATTAAACTTTAAAAGAACACTCAGAAAATTTGAATATGGACAGGATCTTAGATAAAATTAAGGATTTACTGTTAGTGTAATAATGACATTGTGGTTACTGTGCCTTTTTCTAAAGTACCTGGAGTGAAATAACATGGTTTCTGAGTTTTACTTTAAAATGTTCCAACAAAAGCATTTAAAAAGGAGAGGGGATAGATTAAAGAAGTCAGGCAAAAGGTTGATGGTTATTAAAGCTGAATAATGGCCAGGCGCAGTGGCTCATGCCTGTAATCCCAGCACTTTGGGAGGCTAAGGTAGGCGGATCACCTGAGGTCAGGAGTTTGAGACCAGACTGGTCAACATGGTAAAACACTGTCTCTACTAAAAATACCAAAAAATTTAGCTGGGCGTGGTGGCACACACCTGTAATCCCAGCTACTCAGGAAGCTGAGGCAGGACAATCACTAGAACCCAGGAGGCAGAGGTTACAGTGAGCTGACATTGTGCCACTGCACTTCAGCCTGGATGACAGAGCGAAACGCCGGCTCAAAAAAAAAAGAAAGCTAAGTAATGAGTTTATGAGGATGTATTTTCTACTTTGATATGTTTGGAAATTTCCTTAATAAGTTCAAAAAGATACCTTATAAGCCTTAAAAATAAAACAACTTCAGGCGATACATTCAAATATTTACTACACATATATTATATATATAATAACAATGCTAAGTGCTGAGGATTCAGTGGTGGAAGACAGACATGATTTATAACATCCTTGAGTATACAGTCTAGTCTACTCTTCTTTCATTTGTTTTTTTTTTTGAGATGGAGTTTCGCTCGTTACCCAGGCTGGAGTGCAATGGCGTGATCTTGGCTTACCGCAGCCTCCCGAGTAGCCGGGACTACAGGCATGCGCCACCATGCCCAGCTAATTTTTGTATTTTTAGTAGAGACGGGGTTTCACCTTGTTGACCAGGATGGTCTCGATCTCTTGACCTTGTGATCCACCCGCCTCAGCCTCCCAAAGTGCTGGGATTATAGGCGTGAGCCACCGCGCCCGGCTCATTTGTTAATAATAATAGCTTTTAAATGACAGATTTTTTTTTTTTTTAAGAGATGGAGTCTTGCTCTGTCGTGCAACCTCTGCCTCCTGGGTTCAAGCAATTTTCCTGCCTTAGCCTCCCAAATAGCTGGGACTACAGGTGCATGCTGCCACATCTGGCTAATTTTTTTTTGTATTGTAGTAAAGACACGGTTTCATAGTGTTGCCCAGGCTGGTCTCAAACTCCTCAGCTCAGGCAACCCACCTGCCTCAGCCTCCCAAGATGCTAGGATTATGGGCGTGAGCCATGGTGCCTGATATTTTTTTTTTTTGAGACAGGGTCTCACTCTGTCACCTAGGCTGGAGTGAAATAGTGTGACCTCGGCTCACTGCAACCTCCTTTTCCTGGGTTCAGGTGATTCTCCTGCCTCAGCCTCCTGAGTAACTGGCATTACGGGTACATGTCTGGCTAATTTTTGTATTTTTAGTAGGGATGCGATTTCACCATGTTGGCCAGGCAACCAGGCTGGTTTTGAACTCCTGACCTCAGGTGATCTGCCCACCTCAGCCTACCAGTGCTGAGACTACAGGTGTAAGTCACTGCACCCAGAAAAATGACAGCTCTTTGAAACCTGGAAAATGTGATCTAGAGGCAAATTCTTCTGTATAAAATAACCCCTATTCCTTAGAAAAACAGAATTCTAATCCATTAACTGGCTCATATTTGTCAGAAATTTCTATTTGGTATTTTTTTTTTTCAGTGCTGCTGTTCTTAGAGTCTTCTTCCCCTTAACTCTGTAACTATTCCAAAATGACCAGGCCAAGAGAAAAAGAGAAGTTTCACAGCTCAAATGACCCATTTAGCAAGGCAGAGGTGGCTATATTTTTGTTTCTACTCTGATACTCCTAGGAAAAGGTAGAGAAGCACAAACAGCAGAAGTGGTTACATTAAATCTTGTTTCTAATAGGAATGGATATAAGGCGGGTGATGAACAATGAGAACACATGGACACAGGGAAGGGAGCATTACACACTGGGGTCTATTGGGGGGAATAGGGGAGGGACGGGGGTGGGGAGCTGGGGAGGCATAGCATGGGGAGAAATGCCAGATGTGGGTGAAGGGGAGGAAGGCAGCAAAGCACACTGCCACGTGTGTACCTATGTAACTATCTTGCATGTTCTGCACATGTACCCCAAAACCTAAAATGCAAAAAAAAAAAAAAAAAAAAAAAGGAATGGATATAACAAGAATGTAATGTTTACCATTCTGATGCCAAATGCATAGGACAGAGAGCTGTACTTCTGACTTCATGTTCCATGAAGTAACTGAGCATTTAAAACCAAATTCACTTATGAGAAAAGTAAGACAAACTAACATTTAAATGAACTAAGGTCTAGAAGGCTGTGATCAAGGGTGGGACATTATACACATAGAACAATGGATAAATAGTAAATGTACATGTGGGGGACTGGGAGGCAGTGACTCCTTGTCTGCTTACAGAAACGCTATACAACATGTTAATTAACCAGAAAACCTGGTGCAGGTAAGCTAGAATTTCTTATAAACAAGATCTCACATATTATTACATATTTGTACTTGGGCCTCCCTTGGCCCAAGTTTCCTGAATGTGTTAGAGGATCTTTTATTCTCTGTCAAGGCTCCAAGAATTTCTGGCAAGGCTCAAATACAAATGGCCTGAGAACAACTGAACTGTGTTTCTGACAATTTATCTACAGCTCCTACACTAACCAGTGGCAACCAATTAGCGAAGTCAAAGCTGATAAAAAGAAAAATAAAACTTTCATAAATATTACCTATAATGCAAGCTATCAGACCAAGTTAGAAGTGAGCTGCAAGAGTTTCTTTGTAAGTGATATTCATTGCAAACATTAGTTGTCTCTCTCTCTCTTTTTTTTTTTTTTTTTTAGACAGTCTCACTCTGTTGCCCAGGCTGGAGTGCAGTGGTGTGATCTCAGCGAACCTCTGGACCCTGGGTTTAAGCGATTCTGCCTCAGCCTCCCAAGTAGCTGGGATTACAAGTAGCTGCCACTGCACCTGACTAATTTTTGTATTTTTAGTACAGATGAGGTTTCACCATCTTGGCCATGCTGGTCTAGAACTCCTGACCTCGTGGTCCACCAGCCTTGGCCTCGCGAAATGCTGGGATTACAGGTGTGAGCCACTGTGCCCAGCGAGTTGTCTCTTTTTAAGAAGTTTATTTTACCATATCAAAAGCATTTCAAATGTTTGGCTCTCCCTTGCTTACTCAAACTGTAACAGAAGATCCCAAACATAATGAGAAGGGCCCCAGCCATTTCACATTGACTTAAGCTTGAATAACATGCATATCTCAGATCCATTCAATTTTAAGCTTCTTTTTTGTTTCTGTGTCTTATTCTGTCACCTAGACTGGATGCAGTGGGGTGATCTGCAACCTTTGCCTCCTGGGGTCAAGCAATCCTCCCACCTCAGCCTTCCAAAGAGCTCGGACCACAAGTGCCCGCCACTATGCCTGGCTAATTTTTTTTATTTTTGGTAGAGATAGGGTTTCACCATGTTGTCCAGGCTGGTCAATTTTAAGCTTCTTAGATGGAATAATAGCACTTAAGAATTCCTGGGATTTGATCACAGACCTCTAGATGGTACCTACAGCATTAATTCAACACCTATATCCTAATTAGAAGGAGGAGCTAAAATCTTTAAAGAAAAAATTCTGCAATGTGAGGGGATAAACCCAAGACTTTAAAGTTCCTTTTAGGCTGGGCACGGAGGCTCAGGCCTGTAATCCCAGAACTTTGGGAGGCTAAGATGGGCAGATCACTTGTGATCAGGAGTTCCAGACCAGCCTGGCCAACATAGTGAAATCATCTCTCTACTAAAAATACAAAAAAACAAAGCTGGGCATGGTGGCACACGTCTATAATCCTAGCTACTTAGGATTGTGAAGCAGGAGAATCACTGGAATCGAGGAGAAGGAGGTTGCAGTAGGCTGAGATCTCACCACTGCACTCCAGCCTGGGTGGCACAGTGAGTGAATGAGACTCTTAAAAAAAAAATTCCATTTACACTTCAAGATCCTAGGTTAAGGAATTAAAAA